GAGAGAGAGAGAGAGAGAGAGAGAGAGAGAGAGAGAGAGAGAGAGAGAAAGAGCTCTTACAATCCGTCTACTCTTTATATAATTCGAGCTTGAATATCTAGTTAACGATCTATAAATCTAAATTGTAAATATATGCAGTGCATAAGTTTAAATAAACATTTTAATTTTAGATATGAATCAAAGTCTTGATTAAGTTTCTGAAAGAACATTATGGAATAATCCATAGCGTATAAAATGGAATGGTGCATTTTATAGTTACAGGGTATTTTTAATATTGAACGTCGCTTTGATTTGGCGGTAAATTACTAAAATATTATTAACAAATAATCAATGTTGTGCAGCTGTTTCTGCCTTTCAATTGAACAGGGTATTTTACAGTCTCGCATGCGAAATGCGATCAATTCAATGCTTCTAATTCAGTTCAGTCAGCTAGCAACTGAGCAACTGAGCAACTGAGCAACTGAGCAGCTGAGCGGCAGACCAACAGGGCAAACGTAGATGGGATTTTGCGTATGCGCTGCGTAATTGACTTGGAAGTTATGAACCTTTAAATGTGGCCACTGCAGCAGCACACCAGCACAGGCGCAGCACCACTGTCTTGGCAGCATCCATGGCATTCCAGGCCACGGCATGTAATTTTAATTTTCGCACTTGATTGCCCTGTAGCTCGACTGTGCACTCATTCATACGACTGGGACTGCAATTGCGGCTCAGGCTGTGGCTGTGGCTGTGGCTGTGGCTGTGGCTGTGGCGGAGATGGGTGTGCAGGCGGTGCGAGGGCGGGCTGGGAACCATTCATATGATTCATTCGGCCCTTGACGGTCTGAATTAATCAGTGAGTAAGAGCCAAGCAAAGACCTGCTGAAAATATCAGGCGAACCAACGGAAGGAGCTCGCATATTGAGGTAGCTACATAGCGATGGTTCAAACTCTTAAGCAACTGGGCATCCTGTGAACTATGAACTGAAGCCATGATATATTCGTCATTGCGTTCATTCTTATTGCTGATAGTGCTATGAAATAAATGATAATCAAGATTATAAAGGATTATAAAGGTAATGATAATAAAAGAAGGTAAACATATTTCTACTACAAATTAAATTATTTAGGAAGCAAACAGACTGTCTTCTCTTCTTCTTAACGTCTAACACTATCCAGTTAATTGCAATATTTGCAAATTGTATGCAAATATCATCGAGTAGCGATCCTCAAATAGTCATGAGAATTCGGCGTGCAAATTGGCAAATTCGCCTAATTAGGCCGGGAACGCAAAATGGATGAAGCTCTGTGATCTGTGCCGTTTCAGGAAAGACATGATACAATGGGCGTATGGAAATAAGTAATTATTGCATGTTTAACGAATACTTTGAACGTATAAATATTTTCACGAACCATTAGTAAAATGACTGCACAGTGGGGCGACACATTCTAAATTAAATTTCATATAGTGATGACTTCAAACGATTCAGATTATAACGTTTTCGGCAGTCTATAGTTATCGAATGGCAGCAGAATGGGCAAAAAGATACATTTTTATAAATTTCATATATTTTGATACCTTCAAATATTTGAGATTAAAGATTCTTCTTAAAACTTGTTCATGAACATTTCAATTAAATTTGAAACATTTATTTTTATGTATTGTTTTCATAGCCTGCTGTTCATCGTTATCGAATTGCTGCACAATGAGAACAGTTAATTTACATTTTAAATTAAATGATTAAAACGAAGGATCAGAATTCTTTAAAGATCCACTGTGCTTTGCACATGCATTCAAGCTTGGGTAGTTCGCCAGCCAAAAATAAAATTCGCTCACAGATTCGACGTCGCACAGCGCGAAATTCGGCAGCTGGACGAGTGTTGTGTTTATATTTATACTTATATTTATATATGCTTTATAATTATATGTTGCTGTTATTACCGTAACTTAGCTGCCGCCGCTGCCGCCGCTTGTCGCATTTCACATGGGCCCGCAAATTTGTAGTGCAAATTCGAAAAAAGCGATTCATTCAACAGTTACGAGTTGAAGTTATCTCTGTGGGGCCAGATGCTGCTGCTGCTGCTGCTGCTGCAGATGTTGAGATGATCTCGAGGCTGAGCTTGTTGCCTCAATAAATTATGAGCCCGCTTCTTATAAGAGTGCAAACACACAAACATACACATACACTCGTCACACTCGATAGTGGGCGTCATGCGTCTTGGCCTAATGAAAATGTTTGTCTTCGCCCGCCTTTTGGCCGAGTGCTATTTGGTTTTTTATTTTGATTTTAAATTTCGTTAGGAATGCTGCTCGAGAGTTGGTGGGAAGCGCAAATTTATTGCGCATTAAATTACGAAAGAAATAAGATAAACACAGACATCCACTTCCTATGATGAACGATTGTGCATCTAATGGCTGGTAATGAAGCGACCAACACGTCTTGGCCAAATGGCCAACTCTCGCGCAACTTTGAAAGCTAATCGCATATTAGGCACGTCTGTGCACAATGGAGACATCATTAGAAGCATTTAGACGTAGGCATTGGGCATTATATTCTACCATCTCAACAAAAAGCTAAAGATATATTGATATTGTGATAGATATAATGTTTTATATAAAAATAGGCTTAACTATGCCACAAATAATTTTAATTTTTTTAAACCTGCACAGTATAAGAAATTGTGATTAATTGACTTTAAAATATCTTAAGGCAAAAAATTAATAACTTTGCCAATTTTATAATCTGTGAACTAAGGACTAGCTAAACAAATTTTAAAAATAATCTAAGGTAATTTCAGACCTTAGCTAAATTTGTTACTTATAGAAAATAGAATCCATTCATTATTCCCTTTAATTTTCGTAGCTTTAACGACTAATGTAATTAAGTTGACTTAGTGTTCGAGCCTCTCATCGAGGGGCTCATCGAATCTATTTGCAAATCGATTCCAAATGCAAAAATATTCACAAGATTATGATAGCAATACCTTCGCTTTTGTCTGTAGCTGAAACACACGTATGTATGTCTTGTGTTTACGCTAACAATTAGCAGCACACAAAAGAAGAAGAACGAAAGTGAAATATATATATATATATGTATATATCAAAAAATACAGTACAAAATTTATGCGTGTCAATGTGTAAAATTCGAGTTGGCATTTGCGCAAAAAGCGAAAACAAACAAAAACAGAATTGGAAATAGAAAACATTTGGCTAAATTCGTCAAAAAATTTTGCTAAATGAAACTGAAAAAAGAATCCTAATAATAAATCTTAATACATTTTAGGAGATTCAAATTTGTTTTTTTGTTTTTTTTTTTTTCGTTATCGCCAATTTATGCGTCGGCCGTGAATCATTTTCCTGTCGAATATGGAAAGTTGAGGGAGTATTCAATATGTGCGAATTCCAACAGACACAGATAGCAATAGCTACAGAAACTGCCTTGTTGTTGTTTGAGCTGCAAATTAGCGGGTCTGAACAAAGGGTTAAGGCCAGGGTCGATGGGGTTAATGTGGTTTTAAATACTCTGCTAATTGATGAGCGGCACTCCAAGGGCCAACTGCTTCACTCTGCACTCAATAGAGAAGTCCAAGCAAAGCTGACTTCAGTCAAGGTGTTTGCCAATAGTTCTCTAATAAATCTTATATGCCCTGTAATAATCAGAAATGACTAAATAGGGAGTAATTCATGAACACATATTTGTATTGTTAACTGATTTCGGCATTCGAATTCGAAATCTGAACGAGGCTTCGTTTATTTATTAATTTATTTCTTAAAGCTATTGACAAAAACGAGAGTCAAATTAAATTAAAAAAAAAAAG